CATCATCAGCATCATCAGCATCATCAGCATCAGCAGCATCATCATCGTCCTAATCATCAGCATCATCAGCAGCATCATCATCATGAGCAGCAGCAGCATCATCATTATCAGTATCATCATCACCATCAACAGCATCATCATCATAAGATTCATGTCTAGACTCAATGTCATCATCAGCATCATCATTAGGTTCAGCATCATCAGCATCAGCAGCAGTATCATCATCAAGTGAATCATCATCATCATTATCATCATCATCATCATCATCATCATCATCACCACCACCACCACCGTCATCGTCGTCGTCGTCGTTGTCGTCGTCGGCGTCGTCGTCCGCGTCGTTTGTCGGCAGCGGCGGCGGCGGCGTCGTCGTCGTCGACTTCGTCGTTGCTGAGGAGGGGGAGGGGGGGGAGCTATTCTGAACCCCTCGAACAATTTTCCTGGGGGGGGCGGCGGGAAGATGGGGGGTGGTGCTTGCTAGACCCCCACGATACTTTTCCCAGGGGGGGGGGTCTGGACCCCCCCCCCCCCAGTTTCGTGTGGGGGGGGGGAGAATCCTCCAGCCCCCCACTTCCAGCAGCGGCAGAATGCCCTGTTGCCAACATCGCTTCTAAGCACAAGCTGTGGCATCCCCATTGGTGACCCGCCTTGTTGCATACAAACCTGGGCGCGCACGTACCACATGAGTTTCTTACACGTGCATATATATATATATATATATATATATGTATATATACATATATATATATATATATGTACACACAGACGTGCTAATACACACATAAGCATAGATTTACATGACTATGCATGTGCATCTAAATCCATTATAAACTATACACCCCTGCCAACACATACATGCATACGTACATGACTGCATGCATATGTACATCCGCCACCGTACATTCGGACACAAAGTAGGCGTGTCCTCAGGTGCCTTGTTGCAATTCTCAGTCATCTGGATTCAGAATTCTTACGGGACCCGGACCCCAAGCTGCCATATCTCCAGCGTTCTGAGTCCGTCGCCGAACGATTGGTTCAAGACGCCCAAGATGGCCTCCAGACGGCCCAAGAGGCCTCCACGACGCCCTAAGAGGCCTCCATGAGGCCTTCCAAGCGCACCCAAGAGGCCAAAATTAATTGATTGTCCTCAGGGAGTCGGAGGATTTAAGCGTTCTCGCCTCTTCGGCTTCCCGACGCTCCAAGACGGGCCAAGAGGCCTCCAATAGGGCCCCAAAACGGCCCAAGAGAGCACCAAGACGGCTTTAGAGGCCTCCAAGACGGCCAAGGAGGCCCCCATAACGGCTCCAAGAGGGGGCGCAGACGGGGGACCCGAGCGTTATTTCGAACTCTCGGCCCCGAGAGGCCCCCAGGAGGCTCCCAAGAGGCCCCCAGAGGCCGCCAAGAGGCCCCCAGGAAGCCCACCGAGGCCGCCAAGAGGCCTCCAAGAGGCCTCAAAGCTGCCCCCGAAGGGCCCCCGAGAGCGCTCCGAAGAGACCCCAAGAAGCATCCCTGAGGACTCTGACCCACAATCCAGGCAAGGTGGCGGGATGAGCCGAAGGCCATTACATACATACATACATACATGCATGCATGAATGCATGCACGCATGCATACATACATACATGCATGCATACATACATACGTACATACATACATCCATAGCCTACAGACAGACAGACATGCAGACATTGACACACAGACATACAGACATACATACATACAGAACATACAGACAGACATACAGACAATACATACATACAGACATACAGACATACAGACATACAGACATACAGACATAAAGACATACAGACCATTAAGACATACAGACATTACATACAGGCAGGCAGGCAGGCAGGAAGGCAGGCAGACAGGACAGGCAGAAACATAACATACATATATACACACATGCATGCATGCAGCATGCATGATGCCTACAGCATACCGCATGCATGGCATGCATGCATGCATGCATACAACATGCATTACAATACATTACATGCAGACATACATGCATGCATGCAGGCATGCATGCATGCATGCCTGCATGCATGCATACATACATACATACATACATACATACATACATACGCATGCGAACTGCGCCATTGGGACCTTCGCTGGAGCTCCTTATGGGGCCACGAAGCGCTGTCATGGGTGGGGGAAGCGCATGCGAACTGCGCCTCTGGCGCCTTCGGTGGAGCTCCCTATGGGGCCACGAAGCGCTGTCCTGGGTGGGAGAGACGCATGCGAACACCCCGATTGAGGCCTTCGGTGGAGCTCCCTATGGGGCCACGAAGTCTTGGGCAGGGGAGACGCATGCGAACACCCCCACTGGGGCCTTCGGTGGAGCTCCCTATTGGGCCACGAAAATCCTTCTCCTTCACTCCCTCCTGTCTGCCGGTGTGCCCTCGCGCCGAACACGCGCCCTCGGTCCTCTGCCTCGGCCCGGCTCCCCGGTGCTACTCTTACGTCGGGAATTGTCCCTTACAGGAGGGGAGCATTCAAGAACAGTATGTTTTGGTTGTGGTTATGTTTCGATTCTATTTGGACGTGTTTTGATTGTGTGACTGGGGGACGATGTGTTGATTATGTGTGCTATGTTTGGAACATGTTTGTTGTTTTTTTTTCGCCCATACATCGCCTGTAGGAGTACAGGACCGACCTGAGGCTACTCCCGCGGCGTCCTTCGCAGCACATGTTGGGATTGCACGTCTGGGTGTGTCTTGGCGTGTCTCGTCTCCCCGGGCGCGCCCTTCGGGTGCCCAGCCAGACTCGGGTCCGCGGCGGACCCCTGGCTGACCTCTCCCTCCCCTTGCTCTCGCTGCGGCCGCAGTAGCGATGTGCTTGTACCCGCCAGCCTGCTGTCCGCGATCTAGTGGCCAGGCAAGCACGAGGGTGCGCCGTGGCTGAGGTCCACCACGATGCGTGCCGCCGCTTGGTTTGGGCAGTGGCAGACATGAAAGAGAACTCAAGTGGGAGTGTCCGGAAACACGCAGCATGCTCGTAGATCAGTCCACGCGCTCGCTCGTACAATTCGACGAGGGCACCAAGTTTGGGGTAGGCCAATTCTGCAGTCGATCCCCTGCTCGAAGAAAGCTTCACCATCCCTCCCCGCTGATCCCTCCCCCCAGGGGCAAAGCTAGGGGGGGCAGGTTCTCGGGAGAACGCACCGTCCCCCCCGATCGCCCATTTCCTTGCCGAGAAGGACCCCTCCTCCTCCGTCCTTCTCCTCCCTCCTCCGGGGCCTCCCCCTGCCTCCTCATCCTCCTCCTCCTCCTTCTCCTCCTTCTCCTCTTCCTCATCCTCCTCCTCCCTCATCCGGGGCCTCCCTCTGCCTCCTCGGGGCCTCCCCCTCCCTCTCCCTCCTCCTCCCCCCCTCCTCCTCCTCCTACTCCCCCCCCCCCCTCCCTCCGCCTCCTCCTCCTGCCTCCTCCCCTCCTACTCCTCCTGCCTCATCATCATCCAATCCTCCTCCTCCCCTCCTCCTCCTCTCACTACACTCCTCCCCCCCCTCCTCCTACCTCCTCCTCCTCCTCCTCTCCTCCCTCCTCCTCCTCCTTCTCCTACTCCTTCCTCTCCTCCCTCCTCTTCTCCTCCTCTCCTCCTCCTCCTCCTCCCTCCTCCTCCTCCTCCCTCCTACAACCCCTCCTCTCCTCCTCCCGCCTCCTCCTCCTCCTACATCCTCCTCCTTCCTCCTCCTCCCCCCCCCCCCTCCCTCCTCTCCTCCTCCTCCTCATCCCCCTCCTCCTCCTCCTCCTTCCTCCTCCTCCTCCTCCTCCTCCCTCCTTCCTCCTCCCTCCTCCTCCTCCTCCTCCTCCCTCTCCCCCTCCCTCCTCCCTCCTCACTCCTCCCTCCGCCCTCCTCCCTCCTCCCCTACTCCCTCCTCTCTGCTCCCTTCTGCCTTCTCCTGCTCCTCCTCCTCCTCCTCCTCCTCCTCCTCCCACTCCTCCCTCCTCCCACTCCTCCCTCCTCCCTCCTCCTCCTCCTCCTCCTCTTCTTCCCCTCCTCCTCCTCCTCCTCCTTCCTCCTCCCCCTCCTCCTCCTCCTCCTCCTCCTCCTCCTCCTCCTCCTCCTCCTCCTCCTCCTCCTCCTCCTCCGGCTGATCCGCGACCCAGGCACTAGCCCCCCTTTAGGGCCAGTGACCACCTGGGCCAGGCGTGTCGGCCGACAGTCCCACGAGGATGAATTGTACAACATGCGAGGCCCCCGCCTTCAGCGAGGGGCCTCCCAAGTCGGGCGGGTTGAGCGATTCCCAGATCTCGGGGGACGGATAGGACAGCACCGAGGACACATGTCCGCAGCGGGAGGGCCTTGACCGCTGAACTGAAATCAAAACTGAAGGGTGCCTCCATCCGGAGGACTTTTGTTGGCTCTGCCGAGAGGGGCGATATCCCTCAGCAGGCCCGCGACAGGAGCACACCTTCAGGGCTGTGCCTCACGCACCGCACAGCAAGGCAGCAAGTTGATAGCGGATGGGCCGGCACGCCCAAAAGCTGCATGGGGAATGGGCTCCGCAAGCGAGCACTAGCCAAGGAGGGGGGAGAGAGGAGGGACGAGGAGACGGGGACGGGGGGCGGGGGGCGGGCGACGTGTCGTCGAGCGTTGCTGCCTCTGCAGGTCCTCCTCACCCTCAGCCCCTCTACCACTTCTCTTCCTCTTCTGCACTCACCGGCCTGGGACTGGTCCTGCCACCGCCACCTCCTCGCCCTCAGCGAGTTCCTCCTCACCCTCTGCCTCCGCCTCCTCCTCCACCTCCACCACCTCCTCCTCCTTCACCACCTGCTGCAGACTGTGCTCAGCGCCCGCCCCCGACGACAGGGGGCTTGTGGGCGCTGAGTAACTGTTCAGCCACCGCCGTTTGCAGAACAGCACTGAGCTCTTGCCAGAAAGCGACCGCGTCGGCAGACGCTCCTGCCTCTCCGTCAGAGCGGTCCAGGTGATCCAGGATCAGCTGTCTCGCAGAAGAGCCCACTCGTCCCCCAGTTTCGATCGCGAAAGGAATGAGCAAAGGTGTCGTGGGTCCCGGCGGGTACCGGCGCGCCTTGTCGCGGGCTGCGTCCTCCGCGGCGAGGCCAGCCTTCGCCGCCCGAGCACGCGCCTCCCTCTCGTCAGTACTGTCCGGGCTAACCACGACCACGTCCACCGCCCTGGTGCAGCCCTGGCGGGCCCAGACGACGTCAAGGACCGCCGTCTCGACACGCGCAGTCTCGACCCCATCCACGACAGCTCGGCGGGTCCTTTGCCACTGGGGCACAGTCTGCTCCTTCTGGACCCATGCTGGGACGCGCCGGGCAAGCCAGCGGGCCAGCAGGTCGCGAATGCGATCGTGTCGCGCCACGCGGCGCCCTCCCGTCTCGCACGCCAAGGCGTGGTGCTGGTCGGTGTCCAGAACCGCTCCGCAAAGCACCCCCTCTCGGGATGTGTTTCGACAGTGCGTCTGCCTCCTCCCTCCTCCCTCCTCCCTCCTCCCTCCTCCTCCCTCCCTCCTCTCCTCCTCCTCCTCCTCCTCCTCCTCCTCCCCTCCTCCCTCCTCCTCCTCCTCCTCCTCCTCCTCCTCCTCCCTCCTCCTCCTCCTCCTCCTCCTCCTCCCTCCTCCTCTCCCTCCTCCTCCTCCTCCTCCTCTCCTCCTCCCTCCTCCCTCCTCCCTCCTCCCTCCTCCCTCCCCTCCTCCTCCTCCCTCCTCCTCCTCCTCCTCCTCCTCCTCCTCCTCCTCCTCCTCCTCCTCCTCCTCCTCCTCCTCCCCTCCTCCTCCTCCTCCCTCCTCCCTCCTCCTCCTCCTCCCTCCTCCCTCCTCCCTCCTCCCTCCTCCCTCCTCCCTCCTCCCTCCTCCCTCCTCCCTCCTCCCTCCTCCCTCCTCCTCCTCCTCCTCCTCCTCCCTCCTCCTCCTCCTCCTCCATCCTCCTCCCTCCTCCCTCCTCCCTCCTCCCTCCTCCCTCCTGTGCCCGGTTTCGGCTGGGACGCGTGCTCTCCGCGCGCCCACCCCGCGGGCGCCCGAGGCCGCCCTCGCGCGCAGGGCGTGGCGCGCCGGAGGGCGTGCCAGGTGCACCACCCGCGCCCGACGACCGTGACTAGGATTGATGGTTGGGCGCCGCGTAACCCAGACCCCCTCGAGTAATCGCCTTTTGGCGTGTCAATCGTAAGGATAGGGAGACGTTCGAGGCTGGTGAGGTAAGGGATTTCGAGTAGGTGTGCTTCCCTGGCCAAGCCGGGGGGGGCGCGCACACCGCTCCTGGGCCCGGCCGGCATGCGCCGCAAAAAAGCGCCACGTGGCGAAGTACCATGGCTGGAGCTCCAGGCTCGAGTCGGGCCTGTCCCTCCACAGGAGGCATGCTCCAAATAGTACAGACCCAGACCCCCTCGAGTAATGAAAAAATCACGACGGGAGGTTTTTCCTAATTTTCGGCCTCGGGGGGCCCTCACCGGGCCTCGGGAGCGTCAAAAAGCGACTCGGGATGCAAAGCCGGTCATGGAGAAAGGCTCGGGCCCTCTGGGGGTCGACGTAATGAAAAAATCATGACGTCGGGGGTCTGGGAATGGGGGGGTCATAAATGGGGGGGTGGCGAGGGTGGTGCGAAAAGGTACCCAAACGGTACCTCAACGAGCCCCCCTGGGGCTCTGGAGGGGCCCGACAGGGGCGCGAAAAGGAGACCTTTTCTGACCCCCCCATTTGCGACCACCCCATGACGCCAAGCCCAAGATGGAGGATGACGATTAATAAATGACCTGGGGTCGTGTTCACGCGGCGGCGCCCGGGATGACGATAAGAAACAACCGGCCGCGGGCTGGAAAACTATTCTTTTTAATCGTTCTCCTCCAGTCAGAAAATGTGTCAGAAAAAATGGGAGAGAACGATTAAACACATAGTCTATGTGTTTAATCGTTCTCTCCCATTTTTTCTTAATCGTCATACCGCATTACGTCGGGCCTGTCCCCCTACAGGGGGATTTTCGACGAAACATAAAACAAATACCGAAATACCCCCAAAATAATCAAAACAAATAATCAAAAAATAGTCTGGGGACTACTTTTTGGGGGTATGTTTTGACCTTCTTGGGGTATTTTGGGGGTATTTTCTAGTTTTCGTCGAAGATCCCCCTGGGGGACACGCCCGACATAAGACGAGGAGGAGGAAAGGTCGGAGGTTGATAGACCTCCTGCTCTGACAGGGCGCTTAGCGAATTGGCCGTGTTCCGGTGCGCGAGAGGGCGTCGTGGCCGTCATTTTTGCGGGTCAGGTCCGTCGGTGTCGGTCCTAGGCCGTTTTCATGAAATGGAGGTTTACTGAAGGGAGGCTTGTCCACCGCCGAAAAAAGGTACCCATGCCGCTACCCTCTGCCCCGAAGTTCTGGTCAGAACGCCCCCCTGAAGAGGTCCAGGGTAGTGGCATCGTGGGCAGCACGTCGACATTGTGCAGCTCAATGTGCTGTTGTGGTTTGCGTTTCAGGCACCGCTCGCTTGAAGCATGGCTGGTCGAGGTCGTCGCCGTCGTCGTCGGCATCGGCGATGTTGAGGTCATCGTCGTCGAGGTCGTCGTCGTCGTGTCCACCCTCTGTTTCCTCCTCCCCCATCGCCTTTTTGTTCTTAGCATCCCCCCTGTCTCCTTCTCCTCTCCTCGTGATCCCCCCTCTCTTTTCTCACATCGTGTCTCCCCCTCCTCATCCCCCCCTCTCCCCATCAGCGTCTCTCCTTCGCCCCGGCCTCGTCCTCCTCGCTCCTCGCCTCCCTCCTCCTCGTCCCTCGGCCTCCTCCGCCTGCTCGGCGGCCCACTGCCCAGGCGTTCGCCGTCCTCAGCTCGGAGGTGGAGAAGGTGCAGCAGCAGGCGCAGGCCCGCCCCGCCCCGGCACCACGGGCCCCGGGAGGACTCCAAGAACGCGCACCCAGCTCCGGCCGCAAGAGAGCACCACGCCCCCACCGCTTCCAGAAGAAAGCGATGCATCCCCGGGCTCCCTCGAGCAACGACAAAGTCATGACGGGAGGTTTGTCTTACTGTTCGGCCTCCGGGGGCCTTCGCGGGGCCTCGGGAGCGTCAAAAAGCGACTCAGGATGCAAAGCCGGTCACCGGTCATGGGGAGAGGCTCGGGACCTTTTGGGGGTCGACGCAATGAAAAAAACATTACGTCGGGGGTCTGGGTCGACAGACCCACTGGTCGTTGAAGTAGGTATGTTTTGGATTTCCAGATGCCACTGTGCTTGAAGCGCCTTCCCTACTTCGATGATCGAGTGGCTTCACATTCTCCGTCCTCTCAAGGGGGAAGTCGGAAACCAATCTACTTTCAACGCCTTCCTACTTTCTGTTTATACCTACCTCTTCCGACCGATGGGTCAACACATTCGACGGTCCGCGTGAATATCTCGGATCGGTACCGGACCCCCCTGGCGGGGCCTCTGGCGCCGCCCCTGGCGCGCTCCGCGCGCCAGGGAGGGGGTCCAGCGCAGATCCAAGACTCCGCGATCGTCTAAAGTTCTGTTGGTGCGGTTCGTTATTCTTCTTATTCTAACGTCTTCTCGTCACGAACCATCGCGGCGGGAGGCTGCTGGCCGTCTTCGGCCTTCGCTTGGAGCGCTCTTCGAGGCCTGGAGTTCGGATGCACCTCCTGGGAGGTCAGATTCTGATGTCGCCCTGGCCCGAAGTCCGGCTAAGTCCGGCTTAATTCTGCTTCGTCCCGCTTATCCCGGCTCCGGGCGGTTAACCGGGCTTCATCCTGCCTGATCCGGCTCAATCCGGCTTCGTCCGAGGCCCACTCCGGCAGAACAGCTTCCCAAGGGGCCTTAATCCTCTTTACTCTCTCCGACGGAAACCTCCCAGTACAGTCGGGGCCCTGGAGAAGGAACCCTTTTCGTTGGGGAGGGGCTCCGCGTTCCTTACGTGTTTCGCAGCTTGCCTCAGGTTTTCCTTGTGTTTTCGACGGGAAATCGATGTTTAACCCATGGAAAAAGGGGCCTCGTTCCTTATGTAGGGTTCCTTAGGTCAACGCCCTGACTGTAGTTGCCTCCTAACTGGAGGACGAAACACCCCCTTCGAGAACGGAAGCGGCGCGTCACCACTGGGCACATCTTTCTCGCCGCTCCCGCCGCGCCCCTGGCGCGCCGCCAGGGGGGCCCAGCGTGCATCCAAGAAGTCCGCGCGGGCCGTCAGAAGGTTATGTTTCTGCCGGAGGAGGGGGAAGGGGAGGGGGAGGGGGAGGGGGAGGGGGAGGGGGAGGAGGAGGAGGAGGAGGAGGAGGAGGAGGAGGTGGAGGAGGAGGAGGAGGAGGAGGAGGAGGAGGAGGGCTCGCTCCAAGTCTTTTCCCCGACCAGTGCTTGCACTGAAGGCGTCCGAGCGGACATTGGAAGAGGTGGCAGAAAAGTGCCCCGCCGATTCGTGGTAGCCGGCTGGGTTCCCGGTTCCGGGTTCCCGGGTCCCTGGTTATTGGTTTCGGGCCGATTTCGGTGGGTTCCGAGTTCCCGGGTTCCCGGGGTCCCTCTCTTTATCGAGCTCACACCATCCATTGATTTGGTTTTCTCTCTGGTGTGTAATTCCTCTAATTGTCACCATGTCTACCAAGAGCTTGATGCCACGCTCTCACCCTCCTGGCCTGAGGTAAGCCCAGACCTCTGCCCGCTGCGGTGGTCTGTCTGTCTGCCTTGGAGGCCTTAGGGGCCTTGGGGCCATCTTGAAGTCTATCGAGCGAGAAAAGGAGGCGGCGTATATTTGCGTCCCCACCGTCGGGGCCCTCAACCGCTTCGGGGGGCCCTCTTCGGGTGTTCCTTGGGCGCTTTTGGGGCCATCTTGGGTCCCGTTTGTACCCCTCTTGGGCCACTTTGGAGCCATCCGCATCCTGAGGCCTCAGGAGGTCATCGGAAGCGAAACGGCGAGAAGGCAAAGCACGGCTCAGAACAGCTCAAAGCAGCCCCATCCTCTCCAGTTTCGGCCTCCCCGGGGAACGTTTGGGGCCCCAATGGTGCCATCGAAGGTGGCCCGAGGGCCCGCGAGCCGAAAGAGCACGTCGGCGGGCGCTTGGAAGCACGGCCACGACGGAGAGCGCGCCGCACGCCGCCCTCGCCCCTCCGCGCGGTCGCCTTCCCGTGTCCCCCGCCTCCCCGTGCGCTACTTGGCCCCAAGTAGCTGGGCTTGGGCTGCGCTGTTCCATCGCCGCCGACGACGGCGACGACGACGACGACGACGGCGACCACGCTGACGCCGACGCCGACGACGTCGACGACCACGACCACGACCACGCCGACGCCGACGCCGACGCCGACGCCGACGATGACGCCGACGACGGCGACGACGTCGACGACGACGTCGACGACGACGCCGACGACGACGACGACGACGACGACGACGACGACGACGACGAGGACGAGGACGAGGACGAGGTCGCGAAACGGCAGTTGTTCCTCGCATCTGGGCCCCTGGAGGCCCCTCCTTGTGCCCGCGGGAAAGAGCGAAAGAAACTAACGAAAACCAGCAACAAATGATTCGGCACGGGGGCGCCAGACCCGGGGGTCCTTGGCCAGAAGCCCCTGTTGCGCACCGCCCGACGGGGCCAGGGCGGGGATGAGTCCGCCCCAGGGCGCCGCGACGCCCGAGACAGTCTCCAGCGCCGACAGATCTCAGGGATCTTCGACTTCTTCTCGTCTGGCACGGGGGGCCAGTCCCGGGGTCCTTGGCCGGAAGCCGATGCTGTGCACCAAGCCTGGCTTGGGCCCCGAGTTGTGCCCGGGTCGGACGGAACTCAGAGGAGGAAAAGGTATCCGGACCGCTACCCTTGCCTCGTTCTCCCCCTTTTGGGGCCTCCTGGGAGGCCCTCGCCGCCAACGCTGGATTTGCCTCGAAGTCCTGGTCAGAACGCTCCGCAGGAGAGGTCTGGAGAGTAGCGGTGCCCGTACCTTTTGGTTTCTCCAGGGGGGGGGCACAGGATCCGCTGCGTGCAGCTGGTTTCGGTCCTGCCGCCGGGCGCTATTCCTAATCCCCTCTGCTATCCCTCCCACCTTTGGGCCCGTTGGTGTGTTCCTTCGGGGTTGCTGGCGTCACCGGCTGGGGTAACAGACCCCGAATTTCACAATCGAGGGGCGGGGATCACAAGCCTCCCAGACGAGCAATGTCAGACCCCCCCTCAGACCTGCCACGAAAGGGCGGCCTTGTGTCCAGACCTCCTGCAGCCCTCCGAGACAGTTTGAATCAGACCCCCTCCCTGAGTCACGGTTTGCCCCCGTGGAGTCTGGCAATGCTTAGGAGGAGCTGCTGTTCATACCAAGGCAGAGCGTATGGGATTGCTGAGAATAGGGCCGAGCGTGCCACATAATCCCTGCGAGCACCAGATGTGAGTGCGACCGCCGGACGACGAGGAGAGGGAAGACAGACGCTGCCACAACCATAGTCGTATTGGGCAGTAGTCTCCATTTAACGTCACGATTTGCGCCCTCAAGGGTGTGAGGGAAGGGCCTGGCACCGTCCAGTCTGGGAGTGGCTTAGGACAATGACGACCACGCCGACGACAACGACGACGACGACGACGGCGACGGCGATGACGACGGCGACAACTTCAACGACAGACGATCAACGTTGTCCAGAGGCTTCTGAAGCGTTCAGGCGGTGTCTAATTTCACAGGTACGGTGGTGCTCACACATGCGTCGCAGCAGCGTTGCGGTGACCACAAGCGCTATGGTGCGCACGGGTGTTACGGTGTACGCAGGCAGAGTGGTATACACAAGCATGTTGGTTTACGTGGGTGTTGTGGTACGCAGACATGTGGATGCAGCAACATCCGTGGCGTAGACAATCATGCAAAGGCATTGCTGTTCACACCGGCCCTGTATGTTCACAGTCGCCGTGCTGTACACAGACAATTCGTTGCTGGCAAATGCTGTTACATTTGTGTTCCGCACAGGCAACATTGCGTACACAGGCGCTGAGGTGCACGTATGTTGTGGTGTACGCAGGCAATCTGGCCTCCCAACACTGGAGGGGAGGACCTTACGTTGCGCCAGAAATCTCAAGATTCACAAATAGCACGAGTGTTGAATTTGATATGTTCTGGCTCCCACGAATTTCCAGATTTTGGCCCCGTAGGGATTGCCATGTTGTTAGCAGGTGGTGTGCTGTACAGGCATTGTCGTGTACAGGCTGTTTGGTATCCTCGCATGGTGCTGAAGCAGCAGTTATGGTGCACGCGGTCGAGGTGGTGTGCACAGGCAGCGATGCACACAGGCGCTTTGGTGCACAGTGCTTTTGTGGGGTACTGAAGCATTGCGGTGTACACATGCGCTGTTGTGCACACACTTGTTGTCGCTGCAGCAGCTATGGTGTACAAAGGCTTTGCATTGTGTCCGCAGTCATTGCAGTGTAGCACACAAGCAATGCGGTGTATACTGGCACTGCGGTCTACAGATGCACGGTGGTTCACACAGGCATTGTTGTTCATACCGGCGCAAAAATTGTGGTGCTCATTGGCTTTGTGGTGCACGCGGGCAGACGGCGCCGGCTCGAACCGATGTATTACCGTGGGGGGGGGGCGCGGCCGATGACAGCCGCTATCTCGGAGAATAAACATGCATGTTCCTTCCGTCCGCACCAGGTCGTCCGCACCAAGCCTGGGTTGGGCCCCCAGACGCCATGCCATGGATCTCTCCACGCAGTCTTCGGGGGACGCTCCACACATCCTGGGCCCGCTGACTCGTTCGACCTGGCCAGCTTGACTCCTGCTCCTACTCCTGCGGCCACGCCTCCCTGCCTCCCTCCCCGTCCCTTCCTCCCCCTCGTTCCCCTTCCCCCTCCTCTCCCCGCTGGCGGCAGGCGGCTGCCGAGATGGACGATATGGACGGGCGCCCCGCTGGGGTGGGACAAGCAGAAGAACACGCCCTCCGGGCCCCCTAAGCCTTACAGTCAGCGCGCCTAGTGAGGACGCGCGCCTTCATCCAGGATGCCCTTGCGTCCCTGCCTCCGTGGCCCGTCCTTGGCCGTTCTCACTGGTCGCCGCCGCCCCAAGAATCCCAACTTCAGCCTCCAAGGGTCTTGCGCCCTTGCCACGCGTCCTTGATATACAGTCGGGGTCCTGAAGAAGGAACCCTTTTCGTTGGGGAGGGGCTCCGTGCTCCTTAAGTGTTTCACAGCTTGCCTCAGGTTTTCCTTATGCTTCCGATCGGAAATCGAAGTTTCACTTCTCGAGGATAGGGGCCTCGTTCCTTATTCAGGGTTCCTTAGGTCAGCGCCCCGACTGTACGTTTTGACAGTCGGGTCGAGGCGGCGAGGTCAGGAGCGCCGTGGGCTCGGGAGGGGCTGCTGCCTCAGCGGGCCCTGCCGCGGGTCGGGGGCAGCGGGGAGCCTCTTCGGTGGCCGGGGCTCGCCGTGGCCGGGGAGGGCCACGCTCCGCTCCTCGTGCTGCCCTCCTGCTGGCAGCACGAGGGCCAGGGCGGAAACGAAGCACACAGCACACGACACACAACACACACACACACACGCACACACGCACACACACACACACTCACGCACACACGCACACACGCACACACGCACACACGCACACACGCACACACGCGCACACGCGCACACGCGCACACACGCACACGCACACGCACACGCACACGCACACGCACTCACACTCACACTCACACTCACACACACACACAGAAATGTCGTCGGCACCCCAGTGAAAACAAGAATATGGGAAGTGTGAGGGGGGGGGAAAGAAGAACATCCAGAAGGTATTGAATCGGAGATTGATCGACCTCCTACCCTGTCACGTCGATTGGTGAATTGGCCGTTTTCGGTTCGCGAGAGGGCGTCGCGGCCGTCAGTTTCGCGGGTCAGGTCCGTCGGTTTCGGTCCTGGGTCCTTTTCTTCGTGAAAGGGAGGTTTACGAAAGGGAGGCTTGTCCACTGCCGACTGAAAGGCACAAGGCCATCCTGGGACTTCTGTGCGCTTCTCCGTGTGGCCCGGGGGCCCCCCCACATGTCGTCGGCACGCCTGTGAAAACACTGGGGAGACATGGGAAGTGGGGGGGTGGGGGAGGGGGGGGGAGACGAACATCCAGAAGGAATCGAAAGGCACAAAAGCGATCCTTGGACTTCTGTGCGCTTCTCCGTATGGCCCGGGGGCCACCCCACATGTCGTCGGCCCCCCTGTGAACACACAGGGGAGACGTGGGAAGTGTGGGGGTGGGGGGGGGAGACGAACATCCAGAAGGCATCGAAAGGCACAAAAGCCATCCTGGGACTTCTGTGCGCTTCTCCGTGTGGCCCAAGGGGGTCCCCCCACACGTCGTCGGCCCCCAAGTGTGGGGGTGGGGGGGGAGACGAACATCCAGCTGGTATCGAAAGACACAAAGGCCATTCTGGGACTTCTGTGCGCTCCTCCGTGTGGCCCAAGGGCGCCCCCCCCTCGAGCCGGCCGCGCAGCCCGCGGCCGCCGAGGGGCCCTTTGCTACAGGGGCCGCCCCTGCTCCGCAGGCGCGGCCCCCACCTCTCCTCCTCCTCCTCCTCCTCCTCCTCCTCCTCCTCCTCCTCCTCCTCCTCCTCCTCGTCCTCGTCCTCGTCGCCTCTCCTTCTCCTCCTCCTCCTCCTCCTTCTCCTCCTCCCTCCTCGTCCTCCTCCTCCTCCTCCTCCTCCTCCTCCTCCTCCTCCTCCTCCTCCTCCTCCCGCACGCCCTGCGGAGCCCCCCCCCCCTCCCCGCGGAGAGGCTCGCGGGCGAGGTGCCCAGAGCCTCCTGGCGTGTCGCTCGGGCGTGTGCCTCTTTGTTGTTCGGCGGGGGCGCTCGAGGAGGAGGAGGAGGAGGAGTAGGGGGAGGAGGAGGAGGAGGGGGAGGAGGAGGAGGAGGAGGAGGGGGAGGAGGAGGAGGAGGAGGAGGAGGAGGAGGAGGAGGAGGAGGAGGAGGAGGAGGAGAGGAGGAGGAGCAGGAGGAGAGGAGCAGGAGGAGGAGGAGGAGGAGGAGGAGGAGGAGGAGGAGCTGCAGGAGGAGGAGGAGGAGGAGAAGGTTTTGTATGCAGCTCCTGGGAGGTCCAATTCTGATGTTGTCTTGGCCGGGAATCCGGCCTGATCCAGCCCAATCCCGCTCGCACTCCGGCTCCATCCCGCCTAATCCCGCTCCATCCCGCTGATATCGTCCGAGGCCCGCTGCGGCGCAACAGCTCCCGAGTGGGGCTGAATCCTCCCTCCTCTTTCCGACGACAACCTCCCAGCTCACCACCCACCAAACCACCCCAACCCAACCCGAAGGCTCAAATTTACCCTCGATTTCTAGTGGAGGGGGGTCGGGACATATCGACAAAAACACATCTGGAACCCTTGCACCCCCCAACCCGAAATTCGGGTCTTCGGGTTGGGTTGGGGTGGTCTGGTAGGTAGTCAGCAGTTGCCCCTGACCTTGTTGCTCGGCGGGGGCCGTCGAGGAGCACCCCGGACCCTCGGGCAGGGAAGCGCACGCACGGCGCCGAGACTGTGCACGGGTGGAACGCAGGAGGGGACAAGACACACAGGCACAATGAATCGTCGATCCCTCAGAAGATATGACGCCAGGATCTCAGGGTCCTTCCCCAGACCTGCGACCCCCTGGCGTGTTCAACGCGCAGTCCCTGGAAGTCCCGACCCTCTCCCCGGGGCCTTCTTTCTCATCCCGAATCTTGTTGGCTGGCGGTCCCAGGCAGGGCCCGCCGAGGGCCCCCAGGGGGCGCGAGCGGCGAAAAAATCTGCCCGTCCCGATTTTGTTCGCGACGCGAGCATGCCTGGGTCGACCTCGGCGGCTTGCGAGGGGGGGGGAAGTGAGAAGGGGCGGGCCTTCTCAGAAGGCTCGGAAGTTCCCCAGCCTTCTGAGAAGTTGTCTAAACCTTCCCCGAAGACACTAAAGATTTCTCAGAAGGCGCGAGGGCTTTTGAGAAGTCCCGCCGCCTTCTGAGAAGGCCTTCTCTTTCTCTCGGCACGAACGGAATGGGTACGGAAAGAATGGGTACGATGCCCAACAGCAGTTCGTGTTCATGTTGAACCGGACTCGCTGTCCGCGCCGCCGCGGCCCGTGAGGCCGCTTGCGCAACAGCGGCCGCTGTTGGTTTGGGACCACATGTGGTGCGGGGCATTGTGCCCATTCTTTCCGCACCCATTTCGGGCGTCCAAAATTCTCACTTCCCTCCCTCGCTCGCCGCCCTCCGCACCTCTTTTGGCTCCCCCCCTGGCAGGTTCCAGAGGATGGCCGACCTCGTCAGCCCGGGGGCGGGGCCTGCGGATGCGAGCCGCCGCGCACGCCGGGCGCCTCGCGCAGCGGGAGGGGCCCATCTCGAATCCTCCGAGCCGATCCGGTTCGGTTCGCTTCGATCAAATTCCTTTCGCCGGTCCGATGCACGTCCGCCGATGTGGTTCATGTTGAGCGCCGATTCGACTCGACTCTGGGATCGATGTCGATTCTCGATTCGGGTCTGGGCTCGATTCTCGCTTCGATGCGCTCGATCCGATGCCGACTCCCGACTTCGAGTCCTCGATCCGGACCTCGCCGGCGTCGATCTCTCGATTCGATGATGGGCTCTCCCTGGAGGGGGGGGGAGAGAGCTGTGTTTCTGCCCCCCCCCCCCCCTCGCGCGGCCACGAGGGCCGGCCGGACCCACCGGGCCCCCCCATCGGATCGCGACGAAGGCAGGACGGGTATACGGCGGAGGGTTTCTCCGAAGGGCTCAGGCGACCCGTCCTCCTCCTCCTCTTCCTCCTCCTCCCTCTCCTCCTCCTCCTCCTCCTCCTCTTCCTCCTCCTCCTCCTCCTCCTCCTCCTCCTCCTCCTCCTCCTCCTCCTCCTCCTCCTCCTCCTCCTCCTCCCTCTCGGGTCGCCTACGGCCCCGGGGGAAACCGGTCAGACCGAAGCCCGCGCGGAGTTCCCGGATCGGCGCTGGCCCCCCTGGCCCCCCCTCTACACGAGGAACACTCGATAATGGTGTAGAAACAGTATGGGGACGAGAATTCGCGTTCTTCGGACCATCTTTGAATTTTTGCTTGGCTATCTTCTAGCTTTCTTGGCAAAGATCCACCTGTAGGAGGACAGGCCCGACCTTCACCCAGGCTCCCTATGGGATCGCGGCAGAAACGAGGCGGGCACAGTCAGACCGAAGCCCGCGCGGACTTCTCGGATCGGCGCTGGACCCCCATGTCAGGTGCTCGTTCGGGGGGCCTTCCCGGGGCCCACCTCGCGGATCCGTTGGTCCCCGGTTCGACGCAAGTCCGATTCGAGTTCGACTCGGGCTCGACTCGGGATCGGCTCAAGGTCGGCTCAGGTCCCAGACCCCCGACGTGACGATTTTTTCATTACGTCGACCCCCAGAGGTCCCGACCCGTTCCCCATGACCGGCTTTGCCTTCGAAACCCGCCCACTTCGTCTTCGACCGTACCCCCTTGGGGGTATATCTTCCTTACTTTCCATGCGTATTTAGTGCAGCCCCAGGGAAGAGAGGACGGGTGGCAGGGGGAGTGAGAAGAATGGAACACGAGAGGAAATAGCGTCGTGTTCTGACGCTCCCGAGGCCCGGCGAGGGCCCCCGGAGGCCGGAACTTCGGGAACACCGATCCCGTCCTGATTTTCCCACTGCTCGAGGGGGCCTGGGGTCGACGGACGGTCGACGCCGCCTCGACGCACGAGCGGAGCGAGTGGCTCTGGGAGGGCCCCCGGGAGGAAGCGATATCACCGGCCTGGGCGCACGCCGCACGCCGGGCCCGGGGGCGGCCATCCTGCCATCCTGGGGCAGGGCCTCGGGACCCAGACCCCCTCGAGCAATGAAAAAATCATGACGGAAGGTTTTCCTTCATTTTCGGCCTCCGGGGGCCCTCACCGGGCCTCGGGAGCGTCAAAAAACGACTCGGGATGCAAAGCCGGTCATGGGGAAAGGGTCGGGATCTCTGTCAGAGCCCCGAATCATCAGGGGTAATTCGGGTCAGGGTTAACTCGGGTTCGTTTTTCGGGAATCCGAACCCGAGTGAGTTACCCCGGACCCGAGTTATCCCGGATGATTCGGGCGTCCAGAGCCCCACATCATCAGGGGTAACTCGGGTCAGGGCAAACTCGGGTTCCTTTTTCGGGAATCCAAACCCGAGTTACCCCGGATAACTCGGGCGCCCAACTCTGGGGGTCGACGTAATGAAAAAATCACTACGTCGGGGGCCTGGGGAGGGCGCAGGTGCCACCCCTGGGCCCAGGAGGGGCCTGGCCTCGTCGGGCGTGTCCCCCTCTCGAGGAGGAGTGTGCAAGAGCAGTCCCCAGAGATCCAGCGCATTGACAAAAATCAAGACGGAGGCTTTCCACAGATTTCGGCCCCTTGATAGGGGCCCTCGCCGGGCCTCGGGACCGTCAACAAAAACGACTCAGGATGAAAAACCGGTCCTGGGGAAGGGGTCGAGACTTCCGGAGACCGCGCATTGAAAAAATCATGGCATCGGACCTCTGGGTCTAAACATGGTCTGGGGACGATCTTTCCCCACTACTCTTGCATGTCTCTGGCCCAGTTTCCTCTTCCGCCCAAAGTCCGCCTGGAGGGGGACACGCCCGACCTGAGTGTACACGCCCGACCTGAGTGTACCAGCGGACGTGTGCCGCCACGTGCGCTGTCTGGAGTTTTGCTCCGTGCGCGGGTCCTGGGCGTCCCGACCCTCTCCCATGGGACCCGTCGCCCATCCCCAGGCCCCCTCGGGCAGTGAGCAAAATCACGCCGGAAGGTGTTTCTTAACTGTCGGCCTCCGGGGGCCCTCGCAGTCAAGACGCTGGAGCAAGTTACAGCCTGGGGTCGGAAGAGGCTCGATGTTCTTTGGGTCCTTCCATGGCTGTTCCTCCAGCCCTCCTCGTGCACGCAGGCGCTTTGGGGGCCAAAAAGGGCTGCGCTCCTTATTGAATCGCTTCGCTCATTCCGCCGGCCCATAGTGTAGCGTCGCTGGCACTTGCTTGCGTGCTCGGGGGGGCATTTGGGTGGCCTCCTGGGGCCGCTTGGGGGCCTCTTGGGGGCCTCCTGAGGGCCTGTTGGGGGCCTCTTGGGGCCTCTTAGGGGCCTCTTGGGGCCTCCTGGGGACTTCTGAGGGCCGAGGGCTCGAAATATTGTTTCGTGCTCCCCCTCTGGGGGTCCCTCTTGGGGCGTTCTTGGGGCCCTCTTGGGCCGTCTTGGAGGCCTCTTGGGCCGTCTTGGAGCCCTCTTGGGCCGTCTTGGGGCCCTCTTGGGGGCCTCTTGGGCCCTCTTGGGGCGGTCTTGGGGGCCTCTTGGGCCGTCTTGGGGTGTCGTGAAGCCGAAAAGGTGGAAACGCCAAAATCTCTCCAAAACCGAAGGAAAAGCAGTGAATTTTGCCTCTTGGGGCCCTCTCGGGAGTGCTCTTGGAGGCCTCTTGGGGCGTCTGGGGGCCATCGTGGGCGTCTTGGAGCGATCTTGTGGCATCTCGGACCCCTCATGTAGCATCTTGGGGGCCTCTTGGAAGCCTCTTGGCCCTTCTTGGGGCTCTCGGGGACGTCTCGGAGCCGCGTGGGTGCGCGGCTGGAGCGCCCTGGTGACTCCTCCCGGGACTCTCTCGGGACCTTGCCGGGGTACTTTCCGCCCGGGGGCCCCCAGGGGCCGCCCCGCGCAAGCGAAGTAGAAAGATTGTAAAGCAGTCACCGGAGATCTTAGCACGCCTCTGGCCCGTTGGGCCGGCGAATTTACGTTCCTTATTTCAGCAGCCCGGCTGTACCGAGCCTCGGGAGCGTTAAAAAACGCCTCAGGATGCAAAACCGGTCATGGGGAAAAAGTCGGGACCTCTGGGGGTCGACGCAATGAACAAATCATTACGTCGGAGTCTGGGTCGATCATCCTGTGCTCAGCTGCCTCGATCCGCCCGTTCGGAAACGCAGCAGGTGCCGTGCTCAGAACGTCCGTGTCAATACCTTGAGTGGTTTGCTCAACGTATTGGCCCACGCTTCGGCGAACGCATCGCGTCAGACCTACGTCTGCAGTCTACGTGTTGAGTTTTGCATCATTTCGCTACGTGTTGTGCGTTGCGTACCGGAGCAGCTAAGGTCCCGAGTCTTTTGTTTACGGTCCCAGGGCTGGGTAAGGGCCCCCAGAGTCCGAATACGAGGAAAAACCTCCACCCTGATAATTTCAAGACGCTGCGCATCTGGGTGCAGATCTCTTAGGTGCTCGATTTTGGACCCGTTTGTGAACCGCAGCTATCGGTTCTTCGCGCCGGGAGCCGCAGGAAACTGGGATGAACCGACGAAGACCACCAACGACCGTCAGAAGACTGTCGAAGACCGCCCCAGGCACAGACCCCCAGCGTCATGATTTTTAGTGGCGCCGACCCTCAGAGGTCTCGACCCCTTCCTGGTGGCCAGTTTCTCATCCCGGGCCGCTGCTTGACCGTCCCGAGGCCCGGTAAGGGCCCCCAGGTCCCGAGGGGCCAAAAGTAGCGAAAAGCTTCCTGTCGTGATTTTCATCAGGACTGGAAGGGGGCGACTGGGGGGCTGGTGGGCAGCGAGGGGTCCCTCGTCGAGCGATCGTGGCGCGTCGGGTACCCCTCGCCCAGAACGGCCGAAGGGGGCGCGGGGCCCCGCCATCCTGCGCGCGGTACGCTCCCCCCCCCGAGAGAGATGATGATGATGATGATGATGATGATGATGATGATGATGATGATGATGATGATGATGATGATGATGATGATGATGATGATGATGATGATGATGATGCTGATGATGATGATGATGATGATGATGATGATGATGATGATGATGATGATGATGATGATGATGATGATGATTGATGATGATGATGATGATGATGATGAATGACATGATGATGACGATGACGATGACGATGACGATGATGATGATGAATGATGCTGATGCTGAATGTGCTTGATGCAGATGCGATGCTGATGCTGAGTGCTGATGCTGATGCTGATCTGATGCTGCAGATGATGCTGATGCTGAGCTGATTCTGATGATGATGATGCTGATGATGATGATGATGATGATGATGATGATGTGATGATGTTGATGGTGATGGTGATGGTGATGTGATGGTGATGGTGATGGTTGGAAAGGTGATGGTGATGGTGATGGTGATGATGATGGGTGATGGTGATGGTGATGGTGATGGTGATGGTGATGGTGATGGTGATGGTGATGATGATGATGATGATGATGATGCTGATGCTGATGCTGATGCTGATGTTGATGCTTATGCTGATGCTGATGCTGATGCTGATGCTGATGCTGATGCTGATGCTGATGCTGATGCTGATGATGATGCTGATGATGATGATGATGATGATGCTGATGCTGATGCGGATGCTGATGCTGATGCTGATGCTGATGTTGTCGATGCTGATGATGCTGATGCTGATGCTGATGCTGATAATGATGCTGATGCTGATGATGCTGATGCTGATGCTGATGATGATGCTGATGATGATGATGATGATGATGATGATGATGATGATGATGATGATGATAAGTATGATGATGCTGATGACGCTGATGATGATGCTGATGCTGACAATGATGTTGATGATGCTGGCGAAGCTGATACTGATCATGATTTTGATGTTGATTTTGATGATGATGATGATGATGATGATGATGATGATGAGGAGGAGGAGGAGGAGGAGGAGGAGGAGGAGGAGGAGGAGGAGGAGGAGGGGAAGGAAGAGAGTGCAGAGGGGGGCGGAGGAGGGGGGCGCAGGAGGAGAGGAAGGAGGGGGGAGGAGAGGAGGAGGAGTAGGGGGAGGAGGAGGAGGAGGAGGAGGAGGAGGAGGAGTAGGAGGAGGAGGAGGAGGAGGAGGGCCCCCCCCCCCGCCTGCCCTCGCCCCCGGACCAGCAAGTACGTCGAGGTCGCCGAGGGCCTGCAGCCGGGGGCCCGGCGGCGCCCAGACGTGCTCGCATCTGTCGGGGCCTCCCAGGTGGGGTCGGAGGTCCCATACCCCCTTCAGTAGTGAAAAAATCACGACGGGAGGGTTCTCCTAATCTTCGGCTCTGGGGGCCCTCGCTGGGCCTCGGGAGGAGCGTCAAAGAACGACTCAGGATGCAGAGCCAGTCATGGGGAACGGGTCGGGACCTCTGGGGGTCGACATACTGACAAAAATCGTTACGTCGGGGGTCTGGGTAGATGAGGTCGAAGGAACGCGCTGCATCGCCGATGCATCGCCAATGCGGCTCGATGTGGAGCCCGATGTTCTCCGCTCTGGCGTCGCCTATGCATCGCCGATGTCGCCGATGCATCCCCGATGCATCGCCGATGCATCGCCTATAAATCGCCGATGTATCGTCGATGCGGCACGATCCTCCGACCCCATCTATTCCGACCCCATCTAGGAGCCCTCTTGTCTGTGGGGTCTGTGTCCTGGCGGTCCCATTTTTTGAGCCGGGCGTTTTCGCCCAGATTCGGGCCCCGGGACCCTCACAGGTCGATCCGTTTCGAAAAACCCAGACCCCCGACGTCATGGTTTTTCAAAACGTCGACCCCCGGAGTTCTCGACCCATTCCCGGGGACTTGTTTTTCATCCTGACTCGTTTTTTTGGCTGGCCCGAGGCCCAGCGAGGGCCCCCAGAGGCCAAAGAGCGCAAGAGACTTACCGCCGTGAGTGTTTCACAGCGCCAGGGGGGTCTGGGAATGGGGCAGAGAGATTTGGTCCAGGGCTTCAGCCGCGACTGCTCGCAATGTCCCAGTTTTTCTGGCACGTCGGCTCTCGGGGAGTATGCGACGTGCCCGCGCCTCCGAGGCCACAGGCCCTGCTCTCTAAAGTGCTGCGCCTTCGCGCTCCCGAAGCCGCACGCCCGGTGTCTGGTGAGCCCCCGCGGGCCCCCCCGATTCCAGTGCCGATCGCGCGAGCGGCGAGGGCTGGAAGGAGTGTGCAGAAGTGGGGGGTGGGGGGCGGGGGGAGGGGGGGGGTCGTGCAGGGGCACCTGCTGCCTCTCGCACAGGGTTGTATGGGGGGGGAGTGGGCACGTTGGGGGGGGGGGGGGGGGGGGGGGCGGGTGTTCGGTGTCGAGGTTCGCGGCGTTCGCGCGCTTGCATCGGCTCTCGGCGGCTTTCCCGCTTCGGGGTGCTCTCCAGCAGCTGCGCCTCGTCGAGGGCTTCCCGCCCGGGGTTGCACTGATAGTGCCGCGCGGCTGCTGGAGAGGCCCGAATATCTTGACCCGGGAGCCACCGGGCGTGGAAGAGGGGGGTGGTGAACGGGGGTGTCTCGTGGTCGGGGCCATGGCATCTCCTCAGACATGCTCGTCGGTATCGTTTAATCGATCCCCATCCCCATCCCCATCCCCTTCGAGATCCCCACCAAATTACCACCCCAGTTGGGGATACACCCCTCGAAACCCGAAGGGAACGACCTACATGCCCATCTAGAGGGGTAAATCGGCCAGTGTGGCCCAGGCCACGCCGCTTGGGATGGGGATCGGAGAAACTATACTCAGTGGAAAAGTCTGGACGGGAGGTCTTTGGCTGTTTTCGGCCCCAGGGGGCTCTCGCCGGGCCCCGGGACCTTGTTGAAACGCGGCATGTAGCGCATGAAGAGCCGGTCTGCGGGGGAAAGGTCGGGACTTCTGAGGACCGCGCCCCGAGAAGCGCAGGGCGTCGCATGTCTGGGCCCCCCGCTGCTTCTCTCTGGCCCCCCCCCGGGCCGCGCACGCACCTCGGGTCTTAGTGGGCCCTGGAAACGACAGGGCCGTTTTTGTTACCGGTTCCGTCTTGCCGTTTTTGTTGCCGGTTCCGACGCCGTTTTTTTACCGGTTCCGTCGCCGATGTTTAACCGGTTCCGGCTCCGGCTCCAATCCTGGAGCCGCTTTTTTGCCGTTTCCAGTCGCCGTTTTTTGCCGTTTCCATTTTCAAGGGGCATTTGTTGTGGGAAACGGTGAAAAAACGGCCCTGCCGTTTCCGGGGACCACAAAGCTCGGGCCACGATCTGCGAGCCCCAGGCTTCCCTGGGATCCGACGCTGCCACAGCATGATAGGACGACCTCGCGGGAAGTCATGGCTGGACCCGCGGGCCTCCTCTGGGACTCCGCCTTTCTGCTGCAGTCTCGACCTGGATCGATCCGTGAGGGCCCAAGGCCCGCGAGCGGGGCTGAATCGCCCGGCGTGAAGAGTTTGGAGCGCCACTGGATCGGCCTCGCAGTGGGGAGAGGAGGAGTCTCTGAGGAGATGGGCTCAGAGGGATATGGCCCCAAGGGTAACCGAATAAGAAACAAGGACGCATACATGATCTTTCGGAGGTCCGAGCGGGTTTCTGAGATCTGCGTTGTGGCCCCCCTCTGTGGCGTCTCCATCGCCGCCGCCTGGCGCGCACCGCGCGCCTGCGAGGGGGGCTTCAGCGCCGATCCGAGACATCCACGCGGAGATCCAAGACCCATGCCAAGAAACACCCTGCTCGCCTCCAGGGTGCCCCGGATTTCTTGGGTTTCGGTGGCTCTGCTATGGAAAGCGTGAGGTCCCCACACAAACAATCAATGGACGTCCTGGGGTCTCAGGGTTGGGTGTCTTGTGGAAGGTTTCTTGTGGTCGATTTCCCACTCCTTGCACTTCTTGCCCTTGCTAGGATCGGAAGTGATCCAAGACTTCATCTGCACTGTTTGGGGCTCCGCGTCCTCCGGGCCGATGAGGGGCACGAGTCCTGAGGTCTTCCGCGGCCGCAGGAGCATCGAATAACGACGGTCGGGCTGCAATGGGGGGCAGTACGCAGGAGGTGATCAGGGACTTCAGGACAGTGGCCATGGCATAGCCCCGAATGGCTGCTAAACTTCTCTACCACAGGCCCACGAGGTGGAAGGAAGGTGCACGCTTCTCCACGCCCCGCCTGTTGCCCCCCCTTGAACGAACGCCAGATCGGGGTGGTCTCGTGGGAAAGGCCTGGGGCCCGGGACCTGTTTCCCTCGGGGCCCGCTTGCCGCCCGGAGCCGCGCCCCCTCTCCTCCTCCTCCTCCTCCTCCTCCTCTCACCCTCCTCCTCCCTCCTCTCCTCCTCCTCCTCCTCCTCCTCCTCCTCCTCCTCCTCCTCCTCCTCCTCCTCCTCCTCCCTCCTCCTCCTCCTCCTCCTCCTCCTCCTCCTCCTCCTCCTCCTCCTCCTCCTCCTCCTCCTCCTCCTCCTCCCCGCGCTTTTTCGGGCTTGATCGGCGCGCCGGCGCGATCGGTGCGAGGCGTTCGCCAGGATCGGGGCAGCTCGTCTGAGGGCCCCTTGGCGAGGAGCTGGGCAGAGCGGAGGAGGGGATCGTGGAGGGCCCAGGGGTCGTGGGCGGCAGAAGAGCCCCAGCGCGTCGCCACCGCGGCGTGTGGATGGCTCGCCCTGCCCGGCCACCGCGCCGCGCCTCTCCGCCGCCGCCGTCATGGTCGTTGCCGTCGTCGCCGCCGTCGTCAACGCCGTCGTCATCGCCAACGCCGCCGCCGTCCCCGTCGCCGCCGCCGTTGTCGTCGTCGTCGTCGTCGTCGTCGTCGTCGTCGTCGTCGTCGTCGTCGTCGGCGTCGTCGGTGTCGTCGTCGGCGTCGTCGGCGTCGTCGTCGGCGTCGGCGCCGTCGTCGGCGTCGTCGTCTTTGCGGTCCGTCGCCGTCGTCGCCGCCGCAGGCACCGCCGCCGCAGGCACCGCCGTCGCCGACCGCCGTCGGTTCCGTCTGCCTCGTCGTTGTCGTCGTCGTGGGAGGAGGAGACGGAGGAGGAGGAGGAGGAGGAGGAGGAGGAGGAGGAGGAGGAGGAAGAGACGGAAAAGGAGGAGGAGAGGGAGGAGGAGGAGGAGGAGGAGGAGGAGGAGGAGGAGGAGGAAGGGGCAGAAGAGGAGGAGGAGGAGGACCAGTGTAAACCCAGGGTCATCAACGATGTTGTAATAATCCCTCCCTCCAAGCTCCCTTCTCATGGGCCCCTGCAACCGCTCCGTTGAAAGATCCTGAAGCATGCCAAATAATTGTTCTCGGAATTCCAACGCCACATATTTACTTGACGGTTGCGTCTTGACGATCCTGAATCATGCCAGAAGACCATTCCCAGGATTTCAACACATCGCATCAACATAATTGTTGCATCCGCATAACTGTGAACCTTTTCGATACACCATTCCTAGGACGTTAACTACGGGAATACATGAAACACTTGCAGCTTATTAACATTAATGCGCGTCGCCTTGATGCGAGAGCCACATGTTGACACGGAACGGCCCTCAATCCGCGAAACTCTTGTAATTTGTTACAACGAATGCGCTCGATGCTAAGGCGAGAGCCACATTTTGAAAACGGGTCGCCCTCAATCCGTGAAGCTCTTGAAAGGTCAAATTCGAATGTGCACCGCGCTAAGGCGAGTGCCACATCTTGAAAACGACCCGCCCTCCATCTTCGAAGCTGTTGCCAATTTTCAAGCTTCAGAGTCATACGTGGTGAGGAAACCTCAGGCGAAACGCCGGGCCCACCCTAAAATCTGGCCTCGGGGTGCGACAGGGAGAATTTATCTATAAGGAATAGGAATGGAGGGGAAGGAGGATAAAACGGATGAGGGGGAGGAGGAGGCGGAGGAGGAGGAGGAGGAGGAGGGAGGAGGAGGGGAAGGAGGAAGGAGGAGGAGGAGGATGAGGAGAAGAAAGAGATCAGGAGGAGGAGAAGAAGCGAGGAGGATAAGGAGGAGGAGGAGGAGGAAGAGGAGGAGGAGGACGAGGAGGAGGAGGAGGAGCGAAGGAGGAGGAGGAGGAAAGAGGAGGAGGAGGAGGAGGAGGAGGGATGGGGAGGAGGAGGAGGGGACGAGGAGCAGGAGGAGGAGGAGGAGGAAGAAGAGCTGGACGAGGAGGATGTGCGGGAAGAGTCAGAGGAATGGGAGTAGGAGGAGGAGGAGGAGGAGGAGGAGGAGGAGGAGGAGGAGAACGAGGAAGAGGAAGAGGAAGAGGAGAGGGAGGATCAGGAGGAAGAGGACGAGGAGGAGGAGGAATAGGAGGAGGATGTGCAGCAGGATGGGGAGGAGAGCGGAGGGGGCTCCTTGGCCATTGGTCCTTCTCCTTCAAACCGGCGGCCAGAACAGCACAGCCAGGCGCAGGACGGATGGGCCCCCTCGGCGGCCGCCGAGGTCGGAGGCCACTACCCCCGCCACGTCGCGCTCCGCCTCGCCCGCGCCGCCCCTGGCCGCGGTGCGGCTGGAGGACCTCCCAGGCGAAGGCTCCGGGGCCAATGAATGGCCGAGGCGATCGAAACGGGCACGGGAAGATTCAGGTGCGGGCAATATTCGTATCCATATCCAGTGCGTCTGGGACTTTCTTGGAGGGGGCGCCGCAAGGCCGAGGCGCACGGGATGTGGATAAAGCTTGAGCCTTTTGGAGGCAGATTGCAAGCCATATCCAGTGCGCCTCATGTTTCTTGGGAAGAGTGCCCGAAACTCCAAGACGCACTGGATGTGGATAGCGACATTGCCCGCATCAGGCAGTGGCGACGCGTCCCGGTGTGCCTATATGCCTGCCAAGCAATGTTCCAAGAACCTTTTGTGTGGCTTCCAAGACATGTTCTTCGAACATGTCTGGCCCGGGCTGTCTTGGTTTACCGCATCGGGCCTATATTCTAAGAGCAACGTTTTTGTTATTAGAACATTGTTTTGTACTAAGAACATGTCGTGGTGGGCCTATAGGAATGCCGGGACGGTCGGTCCCTGCTCAAAAGAATGGTCGGGGAAACGTGGGGACTCGAGCACGCCAGAACTCTGGTTTGTTGGTGTTTTTTGGCGAGCGCGTCCTGGCTTTTGACAGTCCCGTTGCTGTGGGATGCTTGCAGCGGAAGTTCGCGTGAAATTTCAGGTTGGATCTCGTCATGTTCCTGACGGCCCCGTCGGGCCAACCCGAGTCCCCCGAACCCGAGTCCCCCATGGCGGACGAACGGCCGGGATGATCGAAGTGGGTACGGAAATAATGTCGGAGAAGAGACAAGTACCCATATCGGTGCCCTTCTCTCGTTTTCGCCTTTATTAGGCCTCCTCGGAGGCCGTCGCCACCGCTGGATTCGCTTCGAAACTTTGATCATAATGCACCACAGGAGAGGTCCGGGGAGTAGCGTTATCGGTATCTTTTGGTTTCCCCATCGGGACGACCCAAGCGTGTACGGAAAGAATGGGTAATCCAAAAGCCCTTAGAATGAGGACGATCGAGGTCGTTTCAAAGCAGTCCCAGGGGACTGCTTTGAACGCTAGGCAACGTTCAAAGCAGTCCCCGGGGACTGCTTTGAACGATGCGGATTTCTGGCCAGAAGAGCGCAGGGAAGAACAGGAGGAGGAGGAGGAGAAGGTGGAGAGGGCTGTTGCAAGGTGCGCCGATGGCTCCTGTCCGTCGCCACGCTGTGCCCAGAGGGGGGAAGAGGTGGAGGAGAAGGAGGAGGGGGAGGGGTTCGAGGAAGGATCGGCGAGGTTTTTCTCATCAGTTTCGGCCTCTGGAGGCCCAGCGGGACAACAAAGCCGCAGTTGCGGCGATCCAGAGTAATTCTTTCAAAATCGAAGATTCCCCTCTGCCCCTCTGCCTTCAGGGGTGTCTGCATATATATATATATATATATATATATATATATGTATGTATGTATGTATGTATGTATGTATGTATGTATGTATGTATACATAGATGTGTACATATGTGTATATATGGGTGTATATATATTGCTATTTGTATATATGTTTATATTCGTCGTCGCCGTCGCCGCCGTCGTCGCCGCCGCCGCCGTCGTCGCCGTCCTTCCAGGGCGCCCCCCCGCTTCGAGTAGCGGTCACGGGGGGTCATCCTGGAGGGGCGCGTTCTGTCTCCCTCCCTGGGTGCGGGAAGTGGTCACGGGGGGGGGGGCGCTCTGGTGGGGCGCGTTCTGACCACCTCCCCGGGACCCTGGGGCACCCCCCCCCGCCGCGAGGAAGCGGTCACGGGGGGGGCGCCCTGCAAAGGTGAGCTCTCGACCCTTCCCCGATCCTCCTCACTGCATTCTCCCTCCCGCCCTCCTCCTCCGGTGCCGTTCGGCTCAAGCAGTGCCGTTCGGCTCAAACCAGCGCCGACGTCGGCGGTGGCACGGGCTCGCGCCTGTGCAGGATGGACAGAGAATTGCACATATTGGCAAATATGTGCGAAACGGCGGCCCTGGAGGAAGCAGAGAAAAAAAGGGCCGCAGTTGCGGGGCCTCCATGGGGCAAAGGCGGCGATGGGGCAGCTCGTGGATGGCGGGGCGACCGCAGTGGCGGATGGGGCGGCGGGGATGGCCGCAGTGGTGGATGGCGCATGGCAAAGGGATGGATGGGGAAACGGCGACGGAGTTGACCGCAGTCGCGGGTGGGAGTGCGGCGGCGGGGGTTGGCAATGCGGAGAGGAGGGTGGCGGCGGAATTCATGGCGCCAGTGGAAGTTGGGGGGGCCGCGCCAGCGGTGGAGGAGAGGGCGCAGGCGAACGCGAGCAGGACCGCTGGAGCGGATGGGAAGACGGCCGCTGGAGCGGTTGGGAAGACGGCCGCTGAAGCGGATGGGAAGGCGGCCGCGAAAACCAATGGCAAGGCGCAGTTGCGCACGTCCAAGGAGAGGGCGCCCCCACAGGGCGAGCGGCAGACGACGCGAAGGGCAAGGGGAAAACCGCAGTGGCGCATGTCCTAGGGCGAGGAGGTGCCGCAGTTGCGGACGCCAGCCGCCCTGGGGTGTACACGCTTGGAGTACTTCCAAACCTACGCGGCGTGCTGGCATGGCAACTATAAGCAGCACAACGCGGCCTTGAGGTACTACCGCGAAAAGTGCGAAAACCCAGCTGACCCCTTCAACAGCCGATTTCCTGTTTTTGACCCCGCAGTTGTGGTGCCGATTTCGCGCATTATCAAGCGCAAAGGGCGCGGACGGGGCGCAGGGCAACAGGGGCTGGGAGTGGGGCCGCGCAGAACTGGCCCCGTGGTCTCGGTTGCAGCTGGTCGCGCAGATGGATGCGGCCACAATGGAACTCGTCGCGTGCGGCCCTGACAACGACCGCAGTCGCGGATTGGTCAGGTGCGAGTTTCGCCCGTGCCTGGGCAGTTGCGACCGCAATAGGCACGCCAAAGGGGTGGACAGAGGAGAAGCGCAGGCGGTCCGCTTGCCCGTGTGGGATTTCGCCCTCATCCGCGACGGCGGCTCAGGCATTCGCGTTCACCCGGAATGGTCCAGTCCGAAGTTCAGCCTGTATGAGGTTGAGCCTCGCTGGGGGCCCGTGCAGCCCCCGGGGGCGGGCCTCGGCAAGAGCGCGGGACGTGGCACGTACGCATACTACGTGAGATTGCACGCCAAGCCAATATCGGGGCGGTTCGACGCAGCCAAAGGAGTTGGGCTACAACCGAGGTGGGAGAGGGCTTGAAACCGCAGTTGCGGAAACAGATCTCGTGACACCGCGATCCTTGCACTCACTTCGCGTCGTCGTCCGCAGTTGCGGCGCCCCCGCTCGCATTCCGCATGCGTCCGCCCGCAGTTGCGGCGCCCGCGCGAGTGAACTCCGCAAGCGGATCGTCCGCGCTTCACATCCTTTGAGTCAGTCAGCAATTATCTGGGCTTGTCCGCAGTTGCGGCAGGCGGAAACGCAGTTGCGGCGCGCGGCTTCTCGCGCGAAGAGTCACGAAGAAAACTCCACGGCTCATCTTGTCTTACTCTTGTCGTCGCCTAATTAATTATCTCTTCTGGATTCCCCTTCGTCAATGTCAGGCCCTTTGGTCCCACTTTGTCGTCTTCTATCTCTCCTCGGTTCTCCTTCGTCGCCCCCCCCCCCCCCCCTCCTCCCCAGTCCTGTCCTGCCGCGCTTGCGTTCTTGAGGCCACCCTCGGTGTCCTCGTTCCCTCCGTCGTCCTCCTCGCTGTCCTCTTCGTAATTGCCAATCCTGGCCTTCGCACTCGTCGCCCTCTTCCTCATTCGCCGCAGCCGCGTCCAAGCATCGTTTTTTTTTTGTTTTTTTTTTTGTTTTTGTATGTGTGTGTTTTTGTGTGTGTGTGTGTGTGTGTGGGTGTGGGGGGTGGCGCTTCTCGCGGCGGCATGCCGCAGTTGGAGGTCACCCATGAGAGGAGATGCTGGCGGCGCCGAGGGGTCGCCTGCAAACGCGCTTTGCAATGAGTGAGAACCGCAGTAGCGAATCCACCCAGTGAGGCCACGCAGCGGAGGAGGAGAAAGCCGCAGTAGCGGATCCCACCCCGCCGCGCAGCCTTCGGGGAGGAGAAAGCCGCAGTGGCGGATCCCCCGAGCGAGCGCCGCGCGAGGCGACTTCGGCGTCGAGTTGCAGCAGGGATCGGCGGCGGCCGCCGCCGACAGGCGCAAGTTCCTCCGCGGCGCAGCCGCGCGAGCGGTCTCGGAGTGCCCCGAGGCGCAGGGAGGCGCAGTTGCGCCGCGCGCACGGAGCTCCCAGAGCGCAGTTGCGCGCGCGGGACCCGACGCCGCCAGTTGCCAAAGCTTCCACCAGGACCGCAGTTGCGCAAATACCTATTAGTCCGTTTGACGCGGCAGGTCCGACCGCAGTTGCGGGAGTACCTCTCTCTTCGTCTTCGCCTGGGCCCGAAGACGAGGCCGCTTCTAAGGGGGCGGCCGCCTCGGCCACTGCCCCCGAGGACAACGCCCCTGCGGCCGCGTCGAAGGCTCGGCTCGCGCAGAAGAGGCCTCGTCCTGTGGCGTCTCCTACATCGCCTCCCCTGCAGCTTCCTTCGGAACCGCAGTCGCGGGGCAGCGCGGAACCGCAGTTGCGGGACTCCGAGGAGCCACCGCGCAACAAGAAGCAGCGGACCCAGGGCATCAGGTACAGGGGGGCGGCGCCCACGTGGAACCAGGGGCTCGCCAGGACAGAGGGCGGCCTCCCCGCGCCGCCCACCCTCGCCACGACTGTGAACGTGCTGGTCATCACTGCCGCGGCCACCAAGCAAGACGTCTTCGCCGCTGTCGATGCCCGAAAATCGGGGATCTTCATCGTCGCGCGGGGCATCGGGGTGCTTCGGCCTCGGGAGGAACCGCAGTCAGCGGACCCCGCGCCCCTTCATGGGACTTCCCACGGCGCCGTCGTGGACGCCACCACGGCGAAGAACGGGCCCAGCAGCAGCGGCGAGCCTTACTGGATGATGGCGGAGCTCTTCGACAAGACTGGCCTCGTGCGCGGCGCCCGCACTTTGTCAGTGAGGCCGCAGTTGCGGTGTCAGTCGTTGGGGCCACCCACGCCCTCACGATCGTGCGGTT